ATAGATAGTCGTTTGAAGGGTTGATCTGCGTGTCGTGGGTTCAGGCATGGGCCAGGCTTGCCACAAGCGCTGCCGCGAGACTTTCCACACCAAAGTAGCGACATATCGTAGGGGATTGGGATGAATTAACCACCAACTTCTAGCCTTTTTGCTTCACCAAACCCACCCGCTCCACCCCTCAACTTCCCCGGAAGAGAAGCAGAAAAAAGAAGACTACTCCCCGAAGCAGCGAGAAAACCCAACTCCCCTCCCACCCTACCCACCCCCCCCCACCCCACCCCCCACCCCCCACCCCACCCCCCACCCCTTTCCCCCCCCCGCTGCGGGCCATGGGCGGAGCTGCGGCAGGTCGGTGGCCGCCAGGTCCCGCAGCAGCTGCGCCAGGGACTCGAAGAGCCGCACCCCGGGCAGCGCCAAGAAGTCCACCGCCTGCGACCAGAACCGCAGCGCCTGGACTCCGAGGCGAGCGAGGCGGGTGGCGGGTGGCGGGCGGGTGACCAGTGGGATGGCGCTGGCTTCGGTCCGGCCAAGGGGACTGAAATGGAAATGGGGAAAAGGAGAAGCGAGAGCCAAAATTGAGCATCAGAATAGCGGTGGGTGGCTGGCGAGATGGGTGGGGTCCGGCCAAGGGGTGGCGAAAAAATGGGGGAGCATGGAAGGAGTGAAGAAACCATATGGGAAACACAATGAAAATTAGAACGCATATGCTTGCTCCGGAAGTGGACCATTGGACAGCCATAGAATGGGAAAAACCATCGAATGGAAAACCAACTGCCAACGGGAAAAACTCCCTGGAGACTTTCAAGTGTCTTCGCTGGTGGGGGGGAGCCCATCAAAAACGGCTTGCCGGTTTTTTTCCCCGAACCCCCCCTCCTGCCCCCCCCCCCCTGGCCCCCTGCGAAAAGTGACGAACTTTAGTGCGATAAACTCGGAAACTACTACTAAACACGGATCCTTGCATTATACGCCTGAACATTGCCTTGTAAGTGGTGGTTTCCCTGTATTTTGGTGGAAAAAGCAACATGTTTCAAATTGTTGCAAAATGGAGATCTTTTAAGGAGCCCTGCTAAACCAACACGGTCTTCGGTTTTTCGCCGCAGCGCCTCCGAGGTGGAGAGGCTCAGCGGCGAGAAGGGCGGCCTTTCGCCCCCCGACTGCGTCGACGACGCCAGCCAGTCCGGGGCCCAGTCCAACAACGCCACAGAGGCGCTGAAGGGGAAGAGGTACTTGGAGAGGTGGCTGGGCATAAAGAGCGGCACCCCCATGGCCTCTTAAAGAGAAACAAAGAACTCACCGGAAGTGGCGCGCCTTGTTTCTTCCAGTGGCTGGCGTGCCTTCTTTCCTTTTGAGGCTTCCCATTAAAACCAAGGAGAAAAAAGACACGGGCACCCTAAACAAAGACGGGTGCCACGCGAGAGAAGTGGGCTGCGAAAAAGATAAGGGCATCCGAAACAACAAAAGCACGGAAGAAACCCAACTAAAAGTTCCAAGCTGTGTGAAGTGGGGCGCGAAATGTTCTAAACACCGTGAAACTTCAGCATTCCAACTCTTTGCTATGGGAAAGCCAAAGGCGAATGGGGCCAAACCCCCTCAAACCACCCAACCACACCAACAAGGGGTAAGCTCATGGCTTGATGGTTGCTGACCATTTTCACTGAGCTGGCATCTGTTATGCCCCTTCCAAGCGGAAATGGATTGTGCGCAATGCTGGGTGACCTTTCGGGCGGCTAGGACAAAACCAAGCATCGCAGCAGCATGTATGAACCCAGGAGGCTGTAACCATCTTTCACCAGGTTTATACAAAACCGCGCCGAACAAAACCTGCCCTGAAAATCCACCCCTGGCCCCTCGGCTCTCCAAACTCTGGCTTTCTTTCTTCAGCTCCCCTCGAAGTGGTTTTGGCCGCTTGGTGGCGTGTTCCTCATTTCCATTTCCAGCCTAAAACCAGAGCCTCATACATTAAATCCAAACCTAGCCACCAACCTGAAGGGTTACCTGGGCTGTTCCCAAAAGGAGGCTTGGCCACTCCGATTTTCCATCATCCTCATAGGGAAGTCGCTACAAAGGGAACCGGTTCCTTGCGTAGCCCAAGGTAAGGATCAAGGATTACATTTGAACCTCCCACCACTTGACATGGCACCTGACAGGGTGCTCCATGACCATGTTCCTTGTAAGGGGACGGGTACCTTATTTCTCTGTCTCTTGGTTGCCGCAACGACCCCTCTGCAAAAAGTGAATAACTGTTTGTGGGTTTAGTGGAAAACCCAACTTGATTTCCCAAAAGGTTAAAGACTAAAGATCCAACCCAATAGCAGTCAAGTTCCTAGCCCAGTGGCGTAGAACTCGTAGAAGGTCATTAGCGCGAAGTCGTGGGGGAACAAGACCACCGCCCGGAAGGCCACGAAGCTTTGGTAGCTCCGGTCCGTGTCCGCCTTGCCCAGGAACCGCAGGGGGTACCTAATGCCCGGCCACCATTTGGCCATGGGTCAAAATCCAAAGCCTACCCCCAGTGAACGTCCCACCCAATCGCCATGTTAGTCGAAGGCAAAAACTGGACCCAGGTGCCGATAAGTAACACAAAAAAAACTTGAACAACAACCAAAGAAACCAGAAACCGTCGAACAAATAAAAGCATTCCATTTGACCAACCAAACGATTACATGCGCAATCAATTTCATTTGTGAAACTCCCAACAAACTAACACGACATGGGGAGAAGAAACTATTTATTTATTTATTTATTTATTTATATTATTAAAAAAAAAAAAAAAAAAAAAAAAAAAAAAAAAAACATCAACCAAACCCCTGTCCTTTTGGCCCGGCTTAAACACCAACCTAAAGGGTACCCCTTTTAACTGGGCTCAGCGCCTCCTAAAAGTTTAACTGTTAGTGGGTTGAATGGAAACCCGACCACCAAAATCGACCAAAAAAAATAATACCGGAGGAACCCGACGATTCGCTGGGGAATTGCCTCCCTTGACGACACCCAAAAAGACGAGGAATCCGAGCAAAGCGCCCGGATGGGACGAAGGCCCGCAGCACGCAGTACAGGACACAGGCCTCTCGTGGCTCCGGGACCAGCACCTCCTCCAGCCTCTGGGGGTTGTACCTTTCCTGCGGCTGGTTCGCTTGCTTGCTTGTTGCTCGGTTGCTTGCTTGTTTGAGGCATGTTTGTGTAGTTGTTCAGCTCCTTGAGTTGTAGTTCACTTCTGAATATTTGTTGTTTGATAGGTGCTTCTTTTGTTCAGGTGTTCATTTGCAGGGCAGAAGAGTTTATGTTCTTTGCGTTCAAGGGGGAATTCCTTTTCCCAGGAGCATTCTACAAAACAGAAGCAACTCTGCCCGCAGAACTCACTGAAATCAATATCGTTCCTTTGGGTCTGTCTCTTTTGAGGCTACCCCCTTTTGGCCTTGTCGGGAAAAAGGCAAACCACAAGGCTTTGAAACCGCCATGTTGAATGGGGGTCCCTCAAAAAAAAACACAAGGAGAAACCACCACAAACAAAAAAACAGCATTTGGGGGGGTCCCTCCAAAACAAAAGAAAAAGAGACGAGACTCTTTGAGGTACAGCACCACCGGCCGCAGCACCGGCAGGCGCACGCCGCTCTGCCAGGCGACTTGCTCGGAGTGCAGCGGGTTGTTCGACACGAAGAGGCTCGACGGCAGGGACGCCAAAGCGATGAAGTCGTCGATCCACCTGGGAGAGGTGAGACCAACCTTTTGGGGCGATGCAACATCAACCAAAAAGTTGGGAAACCCCAAGGTCAGATCGATCGGTCGATTCGCTGGCAAGTGAGCACTTGCTCAAAACCCGGTAAAATGGTCGACCCAGAAACATGTAAAGAACTAAGGCGGATATCCAATGCTATTTTTGGCGGATCGTCCCTCACTAACCTTCGCTTACCCGGGTTTTGATTGTGACTCACCTGGGAGCAAGGGCCTGTTTCCCTGATTCTTGGGATGGTCGCTAGTATTGAAAGGTTTCCATGGGATGGCCGTTCGTGTTGAAAGGTTTGGATGGGATGGTCCCTGGTATTGAGAGGTGTCCATGGAACGGTTGTTTGTATTGAACAGTTTCCATGGGATGGCTGTTGGTTTTAAAAGGTTTCCATGGGATGGCCGTTGGTGTTGAAAGGTTTCCATGGGATGGCATTTGTTTTGAAAGGAATCCATGGGATGGTCGTTCGGTTTGAAAGGTTTCCATGGGATGGCCGTTGGTGTTGAAAGGTTTCATGGGATGGCTATTTGTTTTCCAAGGTCCCTTTTTCCACCTGGTTTGTCTCTTTTGGGCTTGGACTCCCAAAATGGGTTTCGGTTATGGAATTTTCCCAAAAAGAGGTACCCTCAAAAACAAAGACACGCCCGCCTGCTGACCGGAGGGGAACGGAGAACCCTTTTTTCCGGAAACATCGCCTTCAGTGAACCCGGCAAAAGTCTACGGGCCGAAAAGGCGATGTTTAAAACCACAAATTTTCCATGTGCTTCTTCGCCCCGTGGAAAAAAATGAAAAAAATATGTCCAATAGTGATAGGTTCCCTTTAATGACCAACAGGGCAAAATAAACATAACATATTCTTAAGCAAATGGAAGCAAGAGGTCGCCCGACCCCGAGACAGTCCCCCTTCACGGCTCCTGTTTTCTTTTGGACACGGTTTGGGACGCAATGCCTCGACCAGCTCTCCTGTGGCACCATGTACAACAGCGGAAGCCCAAAGTAGCCCAGGATGGTCTTGTTCAGCCCGATAAAGAAGTTGCAGTAGTACACCGGGTTCGTGCACAGAAAAACGCTGGACTTCCTGATCGCGGGCTTGTTGAAGTAGTTCCCCTGGATCCAGGCGTGAAATCCGAGCCGGGACTGCTCCATGTCTTGGAAGACTGGGAAGCTGTAGGGCACGCTCTCTTGCCTACAGCAAGAAACACATCAACTTCCGAGCTGCTGTGCTTTTCAAGCCTGCATGCAAACCGAACATGTCCCAGAAACATCTATCCACCAGTGGAAAGGCGATCATGGCACATTCAGACCCAAATGGAATGAGCAACGCAACGAGCACGGTCCCATAAACCACATAACTGGAAAACCAGCCTGCCAAGGCGTCCCATGCAACCCCTATGCCCACCTCCCACCCTTCGAAAACCACCAACCAAAAGCTTGCCTCAAGAACCCAGAACTCACCCCAAAGCCCCCAAAGCCCTTTCCCATGGCTCCAAAGCAAAACGCCTCAAAAACCTCCTCTGGGCTTTTTCGGTGGGACAATCCTCAGACCCTCGCAACCCCCGGAACGCGAGCGAGGCGCTGGTAGGGGCAGTTGGGGCTGCAGTGCTGCGGGAACGGGTGCAGAAAGGCCTCGGCTCGGCCTTCGTAAGGCTTCACAAAGTTCTGGTGCCTCGGCGGCCGAAAATGCTTCCGAAAATCTCCAGAAACTCCGCTGAGGGAAACTTCGGAGGGAACCAGCTAGATGCTTCGATTCGTCTTTCGCCCCTTTTCCCAGATATGACGAACGACTTGCACGTCAGTACCGCTACGAGCCTCCATCAGAGTTTCCATTGGAACATCCCCATGAAAAGGTCCCAAGACCCAGCATGTCCAAGGATTGTCCTATTACCTGGGATTACGCCCTACGCAAATTACCGATCATAGTCCCCAATTTACCATTAACAAAAGAGGTTTTATCTGAACATAGGCTTGAATACGGTGATTCGGGATTTTGAGATGAAAGCCCTAAGTAGTCCCAAAAAGGTCAACTTTTTTTTTCTGGACAGAGGCTTGAATCGGGTGATTCGCCAGAAAGTAGCGAACCCAGGATGTTTAATCGGGAAACCCTTAGAAAATTTTGGAGCCCTTTGACCCCCAACAACCTCAAAAAGATGAGGTTCCAAGGGAACCAAGACCTCACCGGCGGTTTCATGGACCTGCACCGGGCTGTCTTCGCATGGGGAAAGGGCGCAAGCCTGATGCAAATCGGAAGCTGGAAGATGCAGCCAACGCTTGCCCATGGCAAAAAAAAATACAACTTGCCGGCGCAGGCTGGGAATGAGAATTGGAATGACCCTAGAAAAACCGATCCCCCATGGTTTCTGAGGGAATCCCCCGGTTCATTCCCATTTGGCAGGTCACCCCCTACTGAGCAGCAAATAAATTATATATGCCTTGCCGTCTTTCCTACATTAACTTGACAGGCATCCGCTCCCACGAAGCAAAGCCCGCCTTGGACAACCTCCGCAAAAGAACCAACACACACCGCCCGATGTCGAGGCGAAACTGATAGCTGATTTCTCACACAAGGAACCGTTCAACGTCGGCGTTCACCGAAAGTAATGGCCAAGAACAGTTCGAACCCCCAACATTTATTCAACACCAACCCAAGGTAGGCTTGCCAAAAATGATTTCGTAAACCAACCCCAGGCCGACTGCAGAAAAAACAACAACACGATTTGTTCAACCAACCCATGGTAGGCTTCCGCCCCCTGCCCTAAAAAAATGGGCTCAGGTGACATCCCCAACGGCATGCGGTGCTCTTTTTAGTGCTCGCACCACCCCGCAGCCCTCGCAGAACCCTGGCAGAACCCTGGTGGAAGCCTGGTGGAAGCCTGGTGGAAGCTTGGTGGCCTCCCGCCCCGGACCCCAGAGCCCGTCTGGGCTACCCCAAAGCTTTCAGCTGGGGAAAAACGGGGGCGCTTCTGTTTTTCGGCTTCGGGACGTCACCTCCAGGTGCGGCAGCGCCCGTTGCAGGTTGGCCACCGGCTCATTGGAGAGCGCGCGGTGGGAGCCCAGCTCGAAGACCTCGGTCGCCGCTGCGTCGAAGGAGTCGGGAGGACCGGCCCTATGAGGTTTTGGGATACTTGGTCTGGGGTACCTCAGAATTTCTCCGCCCGAAGGAGTCGGAAGGGAGCTGGAGGACTTCAATGGAGGGAAAAGCCTACAAAGCCGGTGGGTCGTTGAGTTTTAGGGTTACTTCGGGGTTGGTTTGGGGTTTCGTTGGGTTCTAGGGTTACGCTGCGTCGAAGGAGTCGGGAGCCGGACCTCTATGGAGTGCAAAGAAACAAAGCCAGGGGATGACCTCTATGGAGGAAACGTAGAAAAGTGGACAGTTGAGGCCTAGGGTTACTTCGGGGTTGGTTTGGGGGTGGTCTCGGGTTTAGGGTTTAGGGGTTGGCTTAGGGTTGGATTAGGGGTTGGTTAGGGTTACTTCGGGTTCCTTGGCTATTGGAAGGTCACGTTTTTCAGAAACGAATGAACATACGGCACATAAGAATGAAGTGCCTCCGTCTCATTGCCCACTTCCATCTTCAAAAGCCGGTGGCCGGAAAACCCAGCCACCCATGTCCCTAGCCAAAACTCCGATCGGTAGGGTAGCTCCTTCCTCGGGTGTGGCTCAAATTTGTGCAACCAGAAAAAAAAGAAGAAGAAAAAAACGAGAAAAATAAAAGAAGAAAAAACACGCTGGTTATAGTCTTTTCCAGCAAACCAGCGTGCCATTTTGGCGCATTTTGTTGACCCATTGCCACTTAGCTCCCTCTGCAACTTGTTGGAAGCCAACCCGGAGATCCCGAGCCGAGCCGCCCAGAAGGCCTTCGTCTCGGCGTCCGACTCGGGCGCGGCGAAAGCGCCGGCGGGCGCGGAGAAAGCGCCCGGGCCCCACTCCAAGTACTGGTGCAGCAGGCTCACCTCTGCGGATTCACCACTTTTGGGGCTTGGTTTTGTTGGGCGCTGGCCGAAAAAACCAGCAGTTTGGTTCATCCAGTGCTCACCTTGAGAAAAAAATGCGTGCCCTTTTCTGCTGGGGGAACCCAAGGGACCAGCTGCAATTGGTTTTCGTGGGGGTACCCTTTTCTTGCCGGCGCGATCTTGGTGAGGGGTTTGACTTTCCGAGTCCGGGTATTGGGGAAGGATTGCTGTTTAGGAAGGATTCCCAAATAAAGGAAGCCAAATCGGGGATGGTCTCGTTCCCTGAGAACCAGCAAGTTGTTGGGCTTGGTTTTCCTGGGGATGCCAAAAGGACCACCTAAGATTTGTTCATCCATTTGTGTGGGGGAACCCCTATTTTCAAAAACAGCCCCCACCTCACCCCGCAAAGTCGAAAGAAGCCGCCATGATTTGGCAAATGGACATTACTCGCGGCAGTCGGTAACCCACAGCCAGCTGGAACAAAATAACTCCCCAATGCAGTTCTGCGAGTTCCCGAAAACACAGATTCATCAAATCAACCCATCCTTTTTGAAAGGACTTGACACTGCTTGTGCTGGCACCTGTTTCTCTGGGCTGTCCTCAGATCCTCTGCTGATGGTTCAACCTTTAGGAAACCCAACTAAACCAACCAAATCGCAATAACAATGACAATAACGATGATAATAACACTCACAATCAAGAAGCTCAGGAACCGGATGTGACATATGGCAAAACCAAGGGCTCCTTTTGCGGCGCCCCCCAGCCTCCGCCCCGCCTGCGGGTACGCGAAGGACTGGGCGATGTCCCAAAGGGATAAGGCGCTGAAGCCCCACGCGGACCAGCTGGAGCTCTCGATGAAGTCCAGGCAGTGGTTCCAGTGCAACAGCCTGCACTGCGCGAGTGCGGAATGCGAATCTGGCGCTTTTCGGAGTTGGTTTCTGATTAAACAAGACACACACGCACACAGGGTCAAAACTGGGGGATGCAACTGGGTCGCTTCAAAAAGGAAATCGAGTCATTCCCGGAAAGATGCGACCATCGCATTGTTGTAAAAATATCGGGGGGGTCATGTGGCCTGGCAACCATTCAAGGTGCAACCTGTGGGGATGGACCGCTTGCTCTCACACAGCCACCCCTTCCCCATCCTTTTTTTTTGCGGGGGGGGGGGGGGGGCATTTTGTAGACTCCCTGCATCGGAGTCGCCTTCCCCCTTTGCAGACTGTCGCATGCATCCAGTCGCTGCTCTATCAGGGGGCCTGGGGGCACATGTCACGTGTGCGTTGTCACGGTATAGAATCGCATTGCATCAACTTCATTTGCTGGCCCCACTTCACCACAAGCAACCCCCAATAACCCCCGGAAGCCACTTCACCATAAAGCAACCTTTAAGGAGGGGGAAGCCCGGAAGCCACTTTATCATAAGCAACCCCCAGGGAGGGGAAAGCGAGCCCGGTGTGCCCATGGCTCTTTCGCGTTTCGCCTCAGCCCATGCCGCGCCAAGGTGTAGTTCTGACCCCCGAGCACATAGCGTGCCAGGTAGGCGATGGCCGCCACGTGGCCGTACAAGCAATACCTCAGCTCGAGGTCGAACGCCGAACGCCCCTTTGCTCCATATGGCTGTGGCTCAAAAATAGGGTGAACCCTGGTAAGTGGAAACAATGACTAAAACCTGTGGTCCCCTGGTGGTTTAATTTTGACCCATACCCATATGGCTGTGGGTCAAAACCCGGTTAAACCCCAGTGAACATCCCAATGGGTGGTGAAATCACCTACCCCAAACTGGTACTATTGGTTCTGACCTACGGCCATATGGCTGTGCATCAAAACCCGGAAAACCCCTGGTGAACCTCAAAATAGGTGGCAAATGGATGTTCATCCACCCCAAAATGGAGTCATAGGTTATGCCCCTTGCTCGCTATCGAAAGATGGTCAAAGATTGAGTGGCCAAGCCCAGTCAGACTTGGGCTAAACCACCGAAGGAATCCAAAAGGCTGACCGCGACAAGACAGAAAACGCGACTGTGAGTGAACTCTACATACCTGGGGCCACGCCCCAATGTTGGACCGTTGCAGCTCAAATAGTTTCTGTTTTACCTTCGGGTCGGACATTTCAGCTTCCCTCTAATTGCTGGTTTGGCTTGGTGGATTGGTGGTTTGGTGGTTATGCTGCTGGCCCTCTACAAGAACCAGGGCTTCAAATCGAAACCAAACCACCGGGCTCCAACCCGCCAACCCAAACCCGGGTTACCTGAACATTGCGCTTCGTTCCATTCGCCGGGCCCCGTGCATCAGGTAACCCATAGTTGCTGCTTTGGTTTCAACCATTTCCAGGCTTTTGTGGAGGCTTTGCACGGAAAAAAATAAAAAGAAAAGATAGATAAATATGAATCATAAAAAAAAAAAAAAAAAAAAAAAAAAACGATAAATGTGACTTAAAAGAAATAGCTAAACCCCTTCACCAAACCAGGCGCCAAACCCATTCCTGGATTGGAAGCTGCTTACCCCTTTCGCCGGGCTCCCTTCCGCCTCCCTGCCTGAAAAAGCTTCCCCCCGCCCCCGCCCCTCGCTTCCCGGACGTCCAGGGTGGGGGCAGAAAATGTCGCTGAAGCACCAGCTTCTCAAGTTGGAAGAATCATGTCATAACCGGTGGGTTTTTTCACGTATCATCACAACCAGCGGTTTTGTTTCACATATTTCAACCCATGGGTGGCATCACCCTGGACATCTCTGGACCTAGCGAGAGGCTCCGAGACCTCCTGGAAGTGGCAGGCGTGGTAAAACGCGGCGGCGCCTGTGGGGTAGTCCTCCAGGCCCTTGGCCAACATGGAGTGCCACTTCTGGTAGAGCCGGTGGGCCTCGTCCAGCAACTCCTCCAGGTCTCCAGGAGAAGGCTCTGTTAGGCTCTGTGATAATGAACACTTGCCCAGGTGGGCCGGCCCATAGGCGAAGGCCCCCTGGGATGAAAAGCAAGGAATTGCGGGAATTGCGGTGAGGATTGATCCCGGACTTTGGCACCATAGATGGGTTCTCCAGCAGAAAAGCCGGAAAAAATCGGGTTGCGGTGAGGATTGATCCCCACACATTTTGGCAATTTTAGATGGGTTCCTGCAAATTTTTTGGTGCGAGGGAAAAGCTGGGAATGTCGCGCGCACCTGGTGAGGATTGATCCCTTCAAACGGAAAGCTGATCAAACCCGCACTTCCAACAACAACGGCTCCGAACATAAGGACTGGAGTCAAAGCAAAAGCGTGCCCTTTCAGGGAGAATTGGGGGGGGGGTGAAACCTGACTATGCAGACTCGACGGCTCAGCATTTGGAACGAAAGACGAAAAATGAATGCCTCGACCTTTTTTGAGTTATGCGGTGTCAGACAAAAAACCTAACCGGAAAACCACCCGAAATGGGGTCCGACGTCAAAAAGAAGGACACCCCCAAATTCAGCGACGTGAGTCCTGGTGCAGAGCAGGGAATGGCACCTCAAAGCCGTCTGCGCGGCTGGTTTCTCTCGTCTGCTCCGCGGCGGCTCGGAAGAGGCCGCGGAAGGTCTGCCAGTCTCCGTGCAGCGGACCCGTGCAGTCCATGAAGTCCGGCACCGTGATCTCCATCACCTGGGTATGGGTCAAAATTAAACCACCAGGGGACCGCAGGTTTTGGTCCATGCTTCCATTTACCAGGATTCCATTCTATTTTTCACCCACAGCCTGGTGATGCCCTGTGCGATCACCCGCACCAAGCGGCGCGCCAGCGCGATCGATCACCGGAGGCGCATGGATTCGCAGAGCTCAGCAACCAGCTCTTGCAGGTTCTCGTCTCAAGCTGTGCCCAGCGTCCTCTCTGCAGTTTACTACTCTGCCTGTCGTTGAATCCCGACCCGCGCCAATCCTAGGCTTACGGGCTGCCGAACTTCTGGGCTTTTTTGCTTTCTGGCGGGCATGCGGCAAGCGAACCCCTGAGAAAGAGGCTTGGCCTTGTGCCTTCCATCTTGTCTTCAAAAAACTGGCATTCCATGGGGCGGGGTCAGGGTGCCATCGTGCCACATGCGCCTTGTTGCAGCTCCCTGGCTTGAGCCGGCAAGTGCAAAGGGCGATTCCACACGAGCTGCATGGGGATTTTCTTTGGGGCCCGGGAAAACTGAAAGTTCCCGAGGCCAAGTCCGGTACGTCTCAGGGTGCGTTGCACAGTGCAGCTGAGGGTTGCATATGGCCTTGGTGGATATAACTGTGCAGCGTGATGTTGCCGAAGAGTTTGCTGCTGAGTGTGCAGTACTATTAGTTGAGGTGGTGTAGCACCTGCCCCAAATGCATGCCATCAGGATCTATGCCGGTGTACCGGTACTTGGTTTTTGGTATGGATTCGGGTGTGCCGACGAGCGCCAACGGGGCAACCTCTGATTCCCGCGCACGCCTCGATCGCTGAGGCGCTCCGGCGTGGCGGGCCTTCGCGGCTGCATCTGCCTGCAACCACGGCAGCCGACAGCGGCCCCGGTGACTTTGGCCTCGCTCATTTCTGGCAAGCCCTTTTCGTAATCTAGGTCCTGTTAGTAGAGAAGTTGGAATAAGGGTGACCGATTCTTTTTTGGACGTCTATTTTAGTAGGGGAACCCTGCCCCCACCCCGAAAAAAGAGTACAAGGGCACCTAGCTGGGGGACCTAGTGCTTCATCTTCCAGAAATATCTCATCTCAGGGCTTCCTTTTCCAACCTCCGGTGACTCGAGTCACATTTCGGCGACACTCTTCAGGCCACTGCCGATCTTCTCTCTCCCTTCTGGCCTCAGCCTCCGCTCCAGGTTCCGCAACTTCTCCTGCTGTGCCTGACATCCATCAGTTCGGCGTCCGAAGAACAAAAAGAATCCGCGACAAAAGGGATTTGGCCATGGGTCAAAAGCCCGGCTATCCCCCAGTGAACATCCCAATCCCCACTAAAATAAAGCCTGGCGCACCTACCCCAAAATGGAACACCATTGGATTTGACCTACAGCCATTTGGCCAAGACATGCCGGTGCCACGCTCAGGGTGGCCACAATGCTGCCGGTGCCTCGCGATGGCGAGTGCCGAGTCTTGAGCACGAAGCTGGCCCGGAGTGGGGCAGTTGGCCCGTTTTGCAATAGCAGAATGGGCCACCCCGAACTGGGCTGTCCTCAGATCTCCTGCGAATCATTGAACTTTTGGGTTGAATGGGAAACCCCCCGCAGAACCAACTAAAAACCCAAGAGCCTAAGAACCCAAGCCAAGACTACGGCAAGTGCCTTCGGTGACTTTACCGACTTTATCCCCTAAGGAAACTCCCCGTCGCAGCCTCGCGGCGCCGAGCGGCCGCGCCTGGCCGCTACACACCGGCGCGGCACGTCTCGAGTGCTCAAAGCGACTCGGAGAAAAAAGAAGAAAAAAACAAGACGGCCAGTTGCACGCCACGGATCCGCGCATGCCCCCGAAAACTGGCTTTTGCCTTTGGGGTGCTTCAGGCCGTTCACGGCAAGCAAGTTATATCCACGTCTGGGCCTCATGGAAGCGGCGCTTACTGAGCGCAACTCGCCATCGCGCGCTCTCCGCCGCTCAAGCCCAGGTCTTTCTCAGTGATCCAATATGTGGCGACCTGGTTGGAGGGCGAGACAAAAGCATCACCTCTACTCCGGATTCCAAGGTGAAAAACCACCTAAGCGAGCTCCTTTTGAGCGGCGGCAAAAACGCCCAGGTTGGGTTCCTCTTCCGTTCCAGCTCCTCAGCTTGATGCGAGCGGGGCCCGGCGCCTCGTATTGGTGTAACTGTCAGTGGTGCATGGGCTATCCACCTTTGGACTCACAAAGCCAAACCCATTCATGAAGAATGCATGTTGTTTTTTGAGAACGTGCCGGGGCTCCATACTTATCTTGAAGGGCCGGCCGTGTTTCGGAGGTCAAAAGACTCATTACGGAACGCATCTTCGGCCCTATCAGTCGTGTGGGTGTCTGAAAAGCTCGCTGGTATCGCAGTGTCGCTTGGATTCACTTGCAAACACGGCGATGGGAGCTGCTCAAACTCCCCAGCCAGGTATGTTGGCTTACTTGTTTTCTCGGTGGTCCATTGGCTTCTGAGTCCCGGGTTGCTTCGCAACCGGACCGCGGGTTGACCAGAATAAAATGCACTCAACCGACTTGCAGAAGACGGAGCCTACCGCGTGCCATGGATAATTGTACTGGTACAATAGCCAGAATGCCTGAGACAAAGCCAAAATGCAAAATGCGATGCGTCGATATCTTCCCAAAGTCAGGTCCCCAACTGCTCATGGCCATGGCCGTCTCTGGCATCTGGCGACTCGCAAGCTCAACTCCACCGACAGCCCGGCAAGACGCGCTTCACGCGTTTCACGCGTCTCACGCGTCTCACGCCGCCGCTGCTCGGCGGATGATGGAAGCACAGCTGAGCTGAGCCGCGCGGCCACCCGAAAAATCTTGGTTGACGTGGGAAGGGGAGCAAAATATGTTCAAGCTTTAGCAGTTAAGTGGTTGGATTTCAACCACTAAACCACAACAAGCAAAAACTTGCAAACTGCTTCCCAACAACAACCATGAAATTGGGCTGGCGGGCGCCGGGCGGACCGCTGGGCAGTCTCCTTGGAAGACTACGCCAGCCCTAGGCCTTGGAGAACAGCGAGGCTGGGCACTTTGAACGTCCCAGGGCTGTTTCATCGGGTCGGTCCAGGAGCCCTGCAAGAGGGGCACCTGCCTAAAACAGTCGCAAAAAAAAAAGCCCGCGATTGGGATTGGGGAATCGGCCGCCTACATCCGCCTACCATAGGACAGGACTTCCCTTTTCAATATTGTAATGTGCTCCTTTGTGGCTTTGAATTGTGGCTCACCTAAAATTTATCAAGATCCCGTTTTTTTTGTACGGAACCGTGCCTTCTCGGATGCGGGGGGGGGGAGCGACCCAGTGACCCCACATAATTCAGGGGTCAGAAACTCGAGGGAGACGCCTTGAACCCCCGTCTCTTGTCGATCCGCTCCGGGTGTCGGGCCATAGCCCATCCCACTCTTCGACTTGGTCGGAGCAGTCACCTCCATCAGCACCTGCACAGTGCCTGGCCAACTTTTTTTGGTGGATGTCACATGGGTATGGGTCAAAACTACTCATCACCCGGAAGTGGACCGCGGCTTTGAGTCCTTGGTTCCATTGATCAGGGCAACCCATTTTGGGTACCCATTTTTGACCCACAGCCACATGGGTCCGACCTTTTCTCTGAAGCGGTCCAGGCCAATCCACTCAGGAAGCGATGCTTGTCAGAGTCTTCCCCAAACGTCATGCAAAGCCCCAGTGTGCCGCCTCGCGCCGAAGGCGAAGAGGTCAGCTGAGTTGCCACAGGAACCCCAAGCCAAGAAGCGCCTCGAAAGGGGTCCTTCTTCGCATCGCACCAGGCGTCGGCCAAAAGGCTCGCCGTGCCCTCGTCCTCGTAGTCCACATACGCATAGCCTCCCACACCACCCAAACGCCCAGACCCAAAGATGCCAAAGACGGACCATGGTCAAAACTGGGGGGGCTCTAGATGGAATACTGTCAACCCCAGAGGTCGAGCTGCCGCGGCGGGAGCAGTTGCCAACCGAGATTTCCCCCACACTCAATGTGGTCGTGCCATCTCAATCCTTCCAGTTCCTTGCTTGCGACGGGTTCTCCCCTTTTTCAGCTGACCTTTTCCCTCGCAGTTGGAGTCCAGTGCCACAGCTCTCCTTTGGAGCAGCCAGGGCGGCATATCAAAGCTGCCACACCCGGAACTTTCAGCCAGAGATCTTGGAGAGCACGCCCCGCGAAAAATCCCCGAAGCGGTACCTTACGGCAAGAAACGGACCGCGCCTTGCCACAAAGAAAGCAACCAAAGGCTTCAAAGAGAACCAACCAAACGCAACATGCTGATTTATACATGTTGCAGAACCCACATGTTTTTCTCAGTTGCCCCAAGGACTCAGGAAGAAAGACTAACCTTTTTGGGCGATGACTAAAAATTGACCAAACAAGGCCTACCAAAAGGTCAGATCTGGTCGATTCGCTTTGGGCAAGTGAGCGTATTCGAACAAAATGGCCGTGGGTGAAAAGCCCGCACCCCCAGTGAACATCCCAATCCCCACTAAAGTAAAGCCTAAAATGGGTGGCGCACCTACCCCAAAATGGGACCCCAAAACGGTATTGACCCACAGCCAAACCTTTCAAAAGAAGAAAAGAAAACATATGCATATGGGCTTCTAACAATGTATTCAAAAAGTACTTCGCCTCGAGCAATCCCCACCCTCCACACTCAGGAGCTCACAACCGTGAACACGGTTGTGTGAATTCAAGCATGGTTTTCGAGTGGCTTGGGGCCTATGCACTTGTCTGCGAGCCTATCTCGAGAACTCAACCATCGGTCCCGTCAACAAAAGCCAAGCCCGAGCCCCCTCCAAAAAGAAACCCGACGGGGGATTAAACGAAGTTGCTGATTCACAACCCAAACCAACACAAAAGCATCACCCTTTCCAAGCCTCAGGGTACGTTCAAAACACGAAGGCACCAACATGAAATGTAAACCCAACTATGCGCCGGGCGGGACATTAAGCAAAACCAGACTGGGGATCCACTGGCGAATGCCGGCGAGCCGCTCCGGCTCGATACTGGCCGGATACTCAGCAGGACCACCGGCAAGGGATACTCAGAGGGATACTCGGCGGGATCCACTGGCGAGGTACTGGGCGGGATCCACTGGCGGGCTGCTCTGGTGGGATACTCGGCGGGATCCACTGGCAAGCTACTCTGGCGGGATACTCGGCGGGATCCACTGGCAAGCTACTCTGGGATACTCAGCGGGATACTCGGTGGGATCCACTAACGGGCTGCTCTGGTGGATACTCGGCGGGATCCACTGGCGAGCTACTCTGGAACACTCAGCGGGTGGTTGGATACTCGGCGGGATCCACTGGCGAGCTACTCTGGCGGGATACTCGGCAGGATCCACTGGCGAGCTAAGCTGGGATACACAGCGGAATAATCGGCGGAATCCACTGGCGAGCCGCTCTGGCGGGATACCCAGCACGATCCACTGGCGAGCAGCTCTGGCGGGATACTGGGCGGGAGCCACTGGCGAGCGGCTCTGGCGTGGCGGGATACTCGACGGGATCTACTGGCGAGCTGCTCTGGGCTACTATGCGGGATCCACTGGCGAGCTGCTCTGGCGGGGTACTGGGCGGGGGCGTGGTGTAGAAGCATCGCAAACGCGGACTCCAACATAAAATCTAACAACCCCTTCCTGGAGGGTGGGTGAAAAACCATATGCATATGGGCTTCTAACAATATATTTAAAAAAGAAGAAGAAAAAACAAAAAACACGGGAGCCAAGAGGAGCGAAGCTGCCCGTCCGCGCCGTCAGCGCCCCGACTCTGCTTGCCGCTGGCGAGGATGCCGCGGGTGAGGTCGCCGAAGCCTGTGCTTTGCGGGGGAACCCAGAAAAAGTCTCCAGTCACCTTCCATTTGGTTAAGACCCCTGGAAAAAATAATGCAAACATATTTCCCGTAGTGACATCAGTTCCCTTTAAAACCAAGGGGGAAAAATACAAAATATTCTCAAGCAAATGCAAGCCACCCGAAGGCTTCCCAAATGGCTGGCGGTGTTCCTGGCTTTTTCTTGACCCTTCCAAACTGGTTTCCCTGCATTTCCCTCGCTGGGCGTTTCTCAGCTTGAAAGGGCATCAACTTGGCAGCAAGACAAAAGGGGCCCCACGTTCAAGCAACACAAAACGAGGAAGAAAAAAAACGTTGACTACAACCGCCGCAAGGAAGAATGATGGAGTGAGCCATCCGCTAGGTGTCCCTCTTGTTGACACCGTGGGTCCGGGAGCTCCGTCCGACTTCACCTCTTGCCAAGGCGCGATAGGCCTCATCGCCCGCGCCACGGCTCTGCTTGCCCTCCGAGATGGTCTCCTGGACAGAATTGGCCCAAGTGCCTTCGAGCCTTCCACAAACACAAGGGGAAAACTTCCTTCTGACTTTTCTGACTTTGGGGCCCGGTATCGCTTCACCTTTGCCTATGACTGGTTGGTCCTTTAGTGGGCACTCTTCGAGGGTATCACAAAGCTTCTCATGAACCGAAAGGCCTCACTTCAAAAGAAAAATGTTCGGGTGTCACGGAACATGGCCCCACAAAAATGTAAGGTCCCAACCAAAAAATTACAGGGCGCTTCCAGAAGGCTAGACAATCATCAATTGGCTCAACGGGTCTTGAACCTGATATGAGGCCGTGTTTGGCTTTTCAAGCCGACCTCTCTGAAACGGAAGCTAAAAGTACACCCCGATATCTTAGTCGGACGCCCCCGAAAAAGATATGGCTTTCCTTTTGGCTCCCTCCAAAAGGATTCCCTCCAAAATTCTTCCAGGACACCCCCTAAAAAGATATGGTTTCCCTCTAAAACCACCCCCTCCCCCCCCAAAAAAAGCAAAGAAGAAGGGTTCCCCTCTGAACCACGCAAAGGAAAACGCAGTCCCCTCGAAACCTTGACCATCCAGGCGGCCTCCAGCGGCGTGACGACCATCGAGGCGGTGCTGGCCGTGCGGGTGACCCAGGCGGGCGCGGGGGGCAAGCCCAGCAGCTGGAGCATGGCGTTGCCTCAGAAGCTACCCGCAGAAACAGTCATGGGGGCTGGGAGCGAAGGGGAGGGGGAGGGAGCAACCCGCAGCAATGCGGGAGATACAGTCATGGGGGCTGGGAGGGGAGGGGGAGGGAGCCCATGCTTGCGTCGCTTGTGAGGTCCATATCCGCCCTCCCGTCCAGCCCACATCGCGGCCCACCCCCCATGATGATGTCCACCTGAACTCATGTCCACCAATCACTTTTCAGGTGGTTCCACACACACATATTCATAGCCATACGATGGGTGAAGTTTTAGTTTACCCCGGAGGTTTACTCCGAGGGCAGTGGTCCCCCAACTAAAAATTACACCCAGAAAGTTTCTACTAGCCGTATCATGGAAGACTTGGGCTGCAGGGAAGGGGGAGGGAGCCCAACTTGGCCCTTCTTACGCCCTTCATATGGCCTTCTTTAGGGGTGTCGCATGATGTGCTCGGCATTCACTTTGATCCCCTGGCGACATGGCCTGGCACCTCTTGTTGTGGGCTTAAGCTTAATCGAGAAAAACAAACTGAAGGAACCTCGAACTTCCCGTGCCGGCACCCCTTTGGCTGTTCGTTCTTAAAAAGAAACAGCAGGAACACCGAAATCCGTCATAAAGCAGCCACACCCCCACCCGCCCCAGCAAAAGAACGAAGATGGGCGGCCCCCAAAAAAAATGAAAAGACCCATGGCTTCTTCTGGGAATTCCAGGCCAAGAGGTTGCACATCAAGGCGCTGAAGTGGCAGCAGTTGTGCCGCAGCAGGTCATAGTCAGGTCCCCGCCAGGTCTGCACCAAGCGGTCCAGGGCTGAAGAGAACTCCTGGCCGCGCCACGGGCACGTGACGCGGCGCGGCAGGCAGTGGGTATGGGTCAAAATTAGTCACCAGCAGGAATTGGACCGCAGGTTTTGGGCAACCCATTTGGGGTACCTATTTTTTGAACCACAGCCACATCATTTTCGGAAGGGATGTTTTTAATGTCGTCCACAAGTTTCGAGGTGTGTCCTGCCCCACAAGGCGGGGTCCAACTTCTTGGACGTGTCCCAAAACCGCAAGAAGACATGTCCGACGGAATCCAGTCGCCGCTGGTTAAACCAGGATGTCCCCTCGGAGAGAGAGGCTTCCTCCACCCGAGATGAGTGGAAAAAAGCCAAAAGCTAGGTCCTCCAGCAGAGAGGTTGGAAAAGGGTACCGTTTCTTTTTTCTGTCTATTTTAGTAGGAGAAAATCTCCCAACCCAAAATCCAAGGGTAAGGACGGGCACCAAGCTGAGAAAACCTACAAAGGGATCCGATCTGCCCAGCGAAGTTGGGATCGATCCATCCATCTCCTCCGCCGAGAGGGCCGTGGTGCCCATGGGCAAACTCTCGGAGAAGATGTGGGCCTCGCAGCTGCGGGGAGCGCAGGTGAAGACCCCGGTGCCCTCCTCCGTGAAGCCGTAGGACCACTCCAGGCCGTCCACCTCCCAAAAAATGGCGAACCAAGGATTTGGTTCCAAGATCTGGGTTTTCTACTGGCCCCCCCCCTGCTTTCCACAAATAGGGGTCAAAAAAGCCGAAACGTTCCAGTCATAAGGAAACAACCTAGCAGTTCAATATTCTGTTTTAGCGCTTCACAGGCTCGCGGTTGTCTGCCCACCTCCACTGCGGCGTGGTAGACCCCCGAACCCATCAGCCGGAACACCTTGTTGGCATGTTTCATCACCCGGTTGTCGCCGCAGTTGTACACATTCAGCGTCACACTCGTCATGGCAAACAAGAAGCTATCTGCGAGCCACTTGCTGGCGGGTGCGCACAGTGGCCATCAAATCCAGGCCCAATCCAGGTATTCAAGCTCCCCGAAAATAGGGGTCACTTGATGTCCCCTCAAGCAACTCAATTTACTGGTGGTCTGCATTTAAGCGATCGCCGCCTTTGGAGGATCAAAGGTGATTGGCTCTCCAAACCCTGCAAGAGCTCCATCTGCGAACTCCGCATGCGCCTAGGTTCCTCTGGGTGATCGGGTGCACCTGGGCTGAAAGTGGTGTCCGGCTTCCTAAGGGATTTGGAGCCATCTAACCGGACGAGAGATACCTCATACCTAAATGGTTTGCCTTTGCCAAAACCTGCCAAAATAATGAAACATGTTGATTGACAGCCAGCCGGCAACATGTTTCGACGCTTTCTCGCCTAGCTTTACTCCGTGGGATGGCGGACTCAAAGTGAGCTAGAATTGCCGGGGTCAAACTGTGGATCTTTTCAGGAGCCTCCGATTCCTAGCGACAAATCCACATTGGTGTGTATCAAAATGGGACAGACCTCCATAGTTTTTGGCTTTCCGACCCGCCGAATTTGGTTCTCCGACCCTTTGAAAGGGAAACCCAACAAGCCCCCTAATTGTGCACCCTCAAACCGGCTTCTTTTTTTAGGGGACCATAAAATGATGGGATTGCCCTTTGGTTTCCCTTTGAATCCACAAAAGAAGGGGGTACCCTCAAACAAAGACACCCTCATTTTTACCCCCAAATCAACTTGCTGGTGCTCAGCAAGGAATGCGGGAATGCTCAGGGCATGAGGGAGTGAATTCTATACACAATCCCTGGTTTCCTTTGAGGGGATCCCCCAAACGGTTCATTCCCAAACCCACCTCGCGTCTTGTTTGCTGTTGACCCCCCTGCAAAAAGTTTACCTTGTTGGGGGTTTGGTGCATAAAATTCCCCTTGATTTCAACCCAAAAGTGAAAGTCTGAAGATCCAACCCAATAGCAGTCCATTTGACCAAATAGAAGCATTCCATTTGACCAACCAAACGATTACATGCGCAACAAATCCCATCCGTGAAGCTCTCAACAAACTAACACGACATGGGGAGAAGAATCCCCCGAGTCATCCAGCAAGAATTTTCGCGCCCCGAGTCTCCCGGCCGCCACCTCGATGCTGTCCGGCGAAGGCGCGCGGCGCTGGTGGACCAGGGCACGGATGGCCTCCTGTTCGGATGACGGGGGTTTTGGGGAGGTGGGGGGGTTGGGGCAGCAAGCGCCAACCGCCCGGCCAGTTTGTTTTTGGTCCGCTTTTTGTTCTGCGTTTAGTCTATGCTTTGCGCTTTCTCGGAACCTTTGCCGGAGGGGAACGAACTCCGCAATTGCAGGACAGCATGTGTGAACACGAGCAAAGCCAGAAAAAGGGCGCCGCGAAAACCGCAGCCATGCGCTCCCGAGGCACATGGGGCAGGGGCAGTCCTCCAGCACGTCGGTCCTCACAGCCCGGGTGTCCAACCGCTTGGCTGCCAGTTGCTTTTTCGCCCGGGACGGAAGAACAGTGTTTCCTATATATATATATATACACGTCCAGTAGGTGAAATCGGTTCCCTTTAAAACCAACAAGGGGAAATAAAACCATTTTCTTAAGGAAGTGCTAGCCTTTGGTTGTTCTTTGGGCAACCAAGCAAACAAGAAAACAAACAAGCAAACAAGCAAACAAACAAGCAAGCAAGCAAGCAAACAAGCAATCAGACAAGTGAGCAAGCAAGCAATCAAATGAGAAAGCAACCCACGCTGGCGACTCCGCCTTCTTGTGCGTGGCGCAATGCCATGTCCAGCCCCCATTCCTCTTCTGAGAATGATCGCTTTCTGGGAAGTCCCTGTACCCTCCCATCAGCTAACATAGAAGTGCACAGACCCCCGTAGAAAGACTACTTTCCTCTTGCTTAGTTGGCCTTTTTGCACAAGCCCATGTTAGTTGGTGGGAGGGTAAGGCCAAGAAGGGGCCCACCTCTTCTTAGTAACCCCCCCCCCCCAAATCCGATCGCAAGCGCTTCGCCGAGGGGCGGCAGGTCAGGCAGCGGCTCCAGCCGCACGCGCCCGCCTGGCTTTTCGAGCGGTGAAGCCATCTTGGCCCATGGTGAAAGCTACCGACCACTTGGCGTTGACCAGCCTTGTCCAAATGCGGAAACGCGGCTTGAGATGCTTCGGTTCCACTTCCCCCATTGAGCTAAAGGTGACTTGAGATTCAAATGCTTCAGTTCCACTTCTATTGAGCTCCGGAAGGACTGGCGGCTCCATGCGGAAGACTCCCGACATTCCAAACTCAGCCAAGCCCCCCCCCCTCCATTTTCCCAGCACCGGTGGTCTGGAATTTCGGCCGTCCGATCGGGGCACGTCTGTCCGGCCTCGGAGCTGCCAGCGCGACAGATCCTTTCCTTCCCTGGGCATCACGGCTCCACAATGCCTGTGGCTTGGCTTGCACCTTTCAGGAGGGCCGGCCGCCTGAAAGAGGGGCACACCCCCTTTCCATACAATACCAAGGAGGTAGGACTAGAAAATGAGGGAGTGCCAGCGATGGCTGCACGTCCTTTCATCTGACTGGTTGCCCCGGCTTCGTCGCCTTTTCCGCAGGCCGAAAACCAAAACTCCCACACACGACGCTCACTCCCGGCTCGCTCGCTCCGGGACCTTTGGAGCTTCTGGGGAGGCGACTCGCCGGGCGCCTTGACCTCGGATTTGTGCCCCTCCCGCGGAAGGTCGGAGGAAAAAATGCGGACGGCAAATCCGGCGGCCGTCTCAATCCTCAACCTCCCCCCCCCAACACACACCCCAGGTACACCGCCGGAAAAACAAAAAAAAAGAAAAGGAAGTCATCAGTTTGTCCTGCAGGTATCCAACAACCCGCCCATCCCCAAGGCGCAGGCCAGGGCCGGCAAGCTCTGAGAGCTCTGCATCTTCCGGCCGACCTGGGCTTTGAGGTCTGCCTCCGCAACCAGCGGCTCTCTCTCTCTCTCTCTCTCTCTCTCTCTCTATCTGCCGCACCATCGGCAAGCCGTCCACACCAGACGGCTTGCCGACAGCAAGGGGTGCCAAGAGCCCATGTCAGGCGGCTTCAGCCAGCGAACGGACGCAGTCACACCAAATTTCGGTGCATGGAAGGTGTCCGAGGTCCCGGCCGCCGTGCGCTCCATGTGCCTGCGCAGCATGTCCCGCACCACCGGCGACTTGGCAAGGTCCACGGGGCGGAGGTTCTCGTTGTTCACCGCCTGAGGCATTGCGGGCGTCTGACGGAAGCCGCGCTCCGCGCGTGGATTTTGCATGACCCGCCTGCGCATCCGCCGTCAGCCCCAGCAGGGACCTGGGGCGAGCCCGTGTGATGGACATGGGGGTGACCATTTGAGAAACCACAAAACAAGATGACCTTCACATGGGCGAAGTTTTCCATGTTCAAAACCACTGGATGGACTGTTCATCAACCCCCTGAACCCAACGCCCCGCCCGAGCCCCGCGGCCACGCTCCACGCTTCAGGCCCCCGGGCTCCACGATGCCCGGCGTGCTCCGCGCGGTGCACTGCGCCGCCAGCGTCAGCACCGAGTTGCCTCAAGCGCGCGCCGCGCGAGTGCCGAGGCACGGCCCTCGGACTCCCCGCGCCGCGCCCCAAAGGCAAGGCCTTCGCAGTCCGCGGCGTCCAGGGAGGCCTTCCGCTCCAGCAGCAGCGCGACCACTTGGCTGTGGCCGGCCTGCACTCCTATGTCCAAAGATCCCTGAGTCCCGGACCAAAAAGTCTCAAACTGAGGGGCAGCCTTCCCTTTAGCTCAGCCAATGCCAAGTGACAGACAGGAAAAACTCTTCGCGGAGTCAAATTGAGAGAAAGCCGCGCGCCCGCACGGCCAGCGCCAGCGGTGTGCGGGCATCATTGTCCACCTCTTCCAAAGCCTGCCGCTGTTTGCTTTTCTTTGGTGGGGGAGTGGGGGTTGGAGGTTGCTTGGGGTGAGGCCTAGGATAGAAGGAGGACACCTAACTGGCAAGCTCAAAGGGCCCAGCCAAGATCTCCCACTCGGATCTGCCGAGAAAACCGAAGCGCGTCCCTCCGACCAGGCCTTCTGCACACCTCGGGCGCCGGGGCACGCCGCAGACCCGTTGCAACCCGCAAGAACCCCCAAAACAAGCCTTTGGAAAAGGAAGCCCAAAGCACCCAGCAGTTGGAGACTGGGCGCCCTCCTCTCTTCTCAGATTACTTTTGCTATCTTGGAGTGGTTGGATCCGACCCAAGCCCTAACTTCACTAATGGCTCAGTTGGGTGGCCCCCCCAAAAAAATAGAGGTTACCACATTGTTGCCCCAAGAAACACACCACACGAGGCACGGGCTCAAGTCCAGCTTCTTGGGGATCTTCTTCAGCAGCGCCTCCGCCTGCCGGAACCTGCCAGGAAGGCTTCGCAGGCCCAAGGAAAGCAACACCAAATTCCAAACGCGCCGCACGCCGAATCGGGGGCTAGAACCCTTAGAAACCCTTGGAAATCACAAGGATGGAAAACAGACCAGGGTGAAACAGGGGCACAACCTCACCATGCAATGGATGGTTGTTGCAGATCAATGCGAGGGGCGCAAGACAAGCTAAGCTTGGCATTGCTGCCAGGTCGGTCTTGCTGAAGCATATGCTGGGAGCCCGGGCAACTGCAAGTCCGGTGTCTCCGCCGATTCTTTCGGATCGATCTCTGCCTTCACTTCGGGCTCCTTCTCGGGCTCCTTTTCCACATTCTTCGGGCCCTTCTCCTCAACCTCCGCTTTCTCCGCCTTGGACTTCGTCTTCGCCTCAGGCCGGGCCGAAAAGGCGAGACGCGGCGGATGAGGGTGCTGGGTTTGCGGCACTCTCTGCCTTTTCTTCCTGAGGGCCCATGACACAGCTGTAAAGTCAAGCCATATAGCACCAACACGCTTTCTTGGAACGCTTGACGAAGCCTTGGGAATCTTCATTTTGATCACCTTGACT